TAGGTTGGTTACCATTATGCAAATCGGCCATTAATGGCTTGTTCAATAAATCATGTCTTATTGCAGGGCGGGAATCCAGTGAATGTTGAAGGGGTTCAGGATGAGGACTCCAGAGGATGCACTCAAGGAACCTCGGTTGGCAGCATCCTCAAGGAGGAGAAAACAAGAGGTGAGTGTTGGGAAGATGCCACTTGGATCAAGTTGACCCGAGGAGTCTTCTGAAACTGCTCTGGTGGAGCAGGGGCAGCGGGGACTGGAAATGGAGGGGCTTTGCAAGGGCATTCCTGGTGATGGGCATGGTCAGAGAGCCAAGGATCATTATTAGCTGTGTCTTCCCTCTGGGACTATTCAATCTCTCCTCCCACTAGCCAGGTGGGTTAGATTCGTATGGGAAATGCTCTTGAATTCCACCTGTGAATGTGCCTTGCATCACTGCCTCTTGCTAGAGGGCCCCGTGTCTTCACCTTTCAAAATCCCTGCAGGTAGAGACTCTTTCTCTGCTGACCTAGTTTGCAGCAGAGAGTTCTGATTCTCCAATAAGTACCACATGTTATAATATACTTGTAAACCATACTGGTTACCATTGGGCAAATCAGACCATCAATGGCTTGTTCCATAAACCAGGTGTTCCTGCAGTCTGTGAATCCATATAAGCTCCTGAGATGTTCATGGGATATTTGCAGAGGCTGAACTATTCATCCAGGATTCACGTCCACTTGATGTGTGCGGGGTATGTGTGGAATGCTAGCACAAATTCCTGATGTCCTGGGATAAGGTGGAGGAACCAAGATGTTCGGCCTGGAGAGGAGACTTAGGGGCCCATGATGGGCCATGTTCAAGAAGAGAAAGGGAAACTCCAGAAAAGGTGCACCAGAATTATTTTCCATTACCACAGGAAGTAGGATCAGAAATGATAGCTGTAATAGTAATAACTGGTTGCAGCTACCTAGACTTGGTTTAAAACACAAGGATATCTTTCTAATGGTGAGAGCTGTCCAAGAAGACCGCAGTTTACCAACCAAAGTTATGGGTTTTCCAACAGGGGAAGAGTCTAGTAAATAAGGCTGTGAGTTTCCCATCTCTGGAGACGTTGAAGACGTTGGATAGTTTAATTGGTTTTCCTGCACATTATGTGAAGGCCAGAGAAAATATTATTTCTGGAGCGTGTCCTGATTCCAGAATTCTGCATGATGTTCATTTTCTAGGCACAACAGCCAGCATCCCACCCCATGCCAGGACCGGGTCTACGCTCCCTGGAGAACCTCTGTAAAACCATGGAAAAAATTGTGAAGCTGCAGAAAGCCAACAAGGAATTCCAACATGAACAACAAGTATTGGAATGTCGAGTCCGGACCTTGGAGAGCTGGGTCTGCACCTTAGAACAAGAGAAGGTAAGAAAGAGTCATCGCTAATAAATTGTAATTGATAGAAGTTGGTTCCCATTGCAGAGACAGAATAGCGGTGGGGGGAGAGAGAGGGAGAGATGGAGAGAAACAGAGAAAAAGAGGAAGGGAGTGAGAGGGAGGGAGGGAGGGGGAGGGGTGGGAGAGAGAAAGAGGGAAAGCAAAAGATAGAGAGAAAGAGAGAGAGAGAGAGAGAGAGAGAAAGAAGGAAAGAGACTGAGAGAGAGAGAGAAAGACAAAAAAGAAAGAAAAAAGANTCCCATTTCTTCGTATCCATTTCCTGTGTTCATGTCCATGTTCATACTTATACCTGTTATCTCGTACATGTTTGACAAACTAAATAAAATAAATAAAAATAAAACAATCTAGAAGCACTTCCCCAGGGATAATTTCTCGGGAAGCCTCTCCAGGCTGCCTTCTCCATTCTTCTGGCCAGACCTGGCTGCTGCTTGAGTCATGTACCTGTAAGGAATATTTTTGGAATGCAAATGTTGCCAGGAGCTTTCTTCAGGTGGCTGATCCCAAGCTCTTGGGGATCATTAGCATGGGGAGGGGCTGAGGCATGGCTCTCACCTGGCCAGCCACTCTATTTACATAGTTTCTGTGCATCCTTGGTGGAAGGGGAGTGGCTTCCATTCATCAGTCTCCATTCTCTTTGCAGAGAGTGTCCGGGGAGCAGCTGAGAACCCTGTGGTGTTAACCTCAGTCAACATGTCCTGGAAGCTGCAGATCACACAACCCCAATCTCGGCTCAGTCTGGTTCTTGGACACCAGATGACCATAGGGAATGATAGATTGGCTGAGGCTGGGTCTCCAACGGATGCTCTTCCCCATCCATTGGCTTTCTTGCCCATGAGTGGGCGTCTTCTGAAATCTGAATCGGAAGATTCTGGCGTGGAGTTGGCCAGTGGCGACCACGTCCCTTTGACTCCGGTGGAATCCGAAAAAAGCTTTTCTCTGGATTGCCTGGATGGAGATGATTCTGTTCCAGCTGTTCAGGAGGGTCATCCCCAAGAAAGGCCAGAAATACTACTGCCCGTTCTGGATTGTGCCTGGCAGGATTTCTGTGTCAAAAGAAAGCTTGGCAACGTGGCACAGAGCTCTCAGAAGAACATCGTGCTTATGCCCAAGAAACCTACTCCAGATTTGGAGGAGCTGAAGTCCTGCCACCACCCATGCCAGCCAGTGAGTGTTAAAGGGGTTCTGGATGAGGCTTCTGGAGGATGCAGTCAAGCTACCTCAGGAGGCAGCACCGTTGAGGAGGAGAAAACAAAAGAAGAGGTGAGTGTTGGGAAGATGCCACTTGGATCAAGTTGACCCGAGGAGTCTTCTGAAACTGCTCTGGTGGAGCAGGGGCAGCGGGGACTGGAAATGGAGGGGCTTTGCAAGGGCATTCCTGGTGATGGGCATGGTCAGAGAGCCAAGGATCATTATTAGCTGTGTCTTCCCTCTGGGACTATTCAATCTCTCCTCCCACTAGCCAGGT